TCAGGGTGAGTCCAGCTCCACGGGCCGGTCTTTGCGAAGCCAAGGGTCCTGAAATCCGCATTCACCTGCTGGGTCCACAAGCCTGGCGGTAATTGAATGCCACGTCGTCTCCAGAACCACTCAGCTCGAAGGAAGCTGAGGACTGTGGAATGCCTCAAGAAAAATCGCATGTCATACTGATGGCCAGCTAGAACTTGCCACAGTGCGCGGGCGGCAGACGATGTGATGTTGACGGCCCGCCTAGCTGCGGTGTCCGCTGTCTCGCAGTGCTGCGCTGTCCAGGGCCTGAACCAGAAACCCCAGGAGGCCGCGGGGGCGACTCTGGTACGGTACATCAGCTCTCGGCCTTCTTGGCCAACTGGCAGGGCTCGCAGGCGTCCAGTCATCTTTTCTGTGTGCTTCACCCGTTCGCTGTGCTCCGGCGCCTCCTCGACGTCGGAGAAGAAGGTTGCACCCAGGACCGTGGCCTCGGGGTGCACTTCAATGCCTAAGCGACGTAGTGCCTGTTGCTGCTGCGGGTCCTTGGTGATCACTCGGAGCTTGCGCATGTTCTCCTTGAGACCGAGCTCTAGTGAGTAACGCTGCCACGCTTGAATGACTGTCTGAGCGTCCTGGGCACTACGGACGACCACCGATCTGTCGTCCAGGTATATAACCTGCGTCAGCCTCTCTGCAAGAAGTCGTCGCAGAGCTAGAGCTGGCCGTCGAAGAAGGACCGTTAATCCCATGGGAGCGGCAGGACATCCTTGGGGTAGAGAGGTTCCAGTCCGTTGTCCTTCGGGGAGCGTGGCGCCTCCCATCTGGATCCACCTGGTCTGGGCCAGCCAAGTGTGCCTGAGAACGCTGAGCATCCGCGCGGGCGCGCCCATCCTCCGCAAGATCGTCAGCGGGAGCTGGGGATTGATATAGTCGAAACAGAGTGAAAAGTCCATGCTGATCATGATGCTGGGCTGCTGGTGATAGGCCGCGTCCAACTGTCTGATACCTGTTTCAGCGCTTCTGCCCTGCAGGCCGCCCTGGAAGTCCGCGGGCATGATGTGATCAAGCCAGGCCCGTGTCCTCCCCCGCGCCATCCAAGTCGAGGCGACGACACGGTAGACCGCCGACAGCACGGATATCGGGCGCATACGGTCAACCTGCACGCAGTCAGTGTCGGGCTCCAACTGGTCCTTAGGGATGCAAACCATGCGCGCCTGCGTCCACGCCCTCGGGTATTGAGCCCGGAGGTGCCATTCTTCGAGTCGCCCCTCCAGCTGCTGCCAGAAGGTCAGCGGCAGAGCTGCCAGTTCAGCCGCACTCCAACCATCAGGGCCTGCGGATCCGCCCGTCATGGTGTGGGCAGTTCGCTGGAGCTCAGCGGCCGTGAGGGGCCCGTCGTCGCTGTCCCAGTCAAAGTCGTCGACCGCATCGATGTCATAGGGCAGGGTCTGCACAAGGTCTCTATCCCATACCTCACGCCAGAAATCCTTGAGGAAACCTAAGCTTTCAGCAGTGGTGGTAGCGACCTGGTTCTGTCCATCTGCAACCCTAGCTATGCCGGGCGGCAGGTTGGACGAGCGGCCATGAAGCCAGGTGGAGGCCTCCTTCCCGCACTTCGC